AAGGGGATAGGATTTAGGGTTTAGGGTTTAGGGTTTAGAGTTTAGGGTTTAGGATAGGATTTACGGTTTAGGAACCCTAAACACTAAACCCGTTCACGGTTCAAGGTTTCGGTCCTCTGAACGTGCTTTAAAGGAGTTACGGTTGTGCTGAGGCTTGGAAGTCATAGGTTGCTTCATAGTACAATAACAATAGCAGTAAACTGTAACCCGATACTTTTCAATGGACTCCCTAAGCCCTAAACCCCTAAACCCTAAACCCTAAAACTTGGAGTTCTGCTGCTTCACTGCTTTCCAGGACTTCCGGTACTATGATGAAAAAACCCTCCGAACTCTCAGCTAACACGTGGGAGGGTTTAGGGTTTAGGGTTTAGGGGTGGGAGGGCCCGGAGACTCGCAGCAGCGATTGGGTTTAGGGGGTCAGAGATGTACTGGAGCTAACCATGCAGCCCTCCAGCTGCGACTAAGGCGGAGGTGTCGGGCATAGTACTACATCGGCCCCCTGTCCTCATATGGCCTGATGCTTCTCCTGTTCATGGGCCTTCCCAGGACCTCCGATCATGCTATATCGGTAAACCACATGGCTGGGAACTTGCGGTCCTCCAAAACCGTGTCGTACGGTTGATGATCTGAATCTAAATCCTGCATTACCTCGAGGACCCTAGACTATGGGAATTATGGTATATTCCTTATTATGGGTAATGCAGGATGCGTATCATCAACAGTAGTGCTAGACAGTGTGAAAAAGTAGGAACGCTCTCGGACAAACTGTCTTTTACCAGGCGCGGCCAACTTACCAGATTACCAGATCAATTGGATGCAAAAGAAGCATGGGGGCATCAATCCCGACGAAGGAGCATCGCCCTTTCAGGGTCACATCCTCAAGAGTCACATGTGCCACCGTGGGGACAAGGGTGCATGGGCATTACCCAAGTCCTACGAGGAAGTTGCACAGTGATATAAGCAGTGTGCAGAATGCAAACCCCACCGCTCGAAGCATGGGATTACCTGCAGCAATGCCGAAAACAACAAGATCTGAAAATCGAGTGAGGCCATAAGCTACAGCCAATACAAGGACAGGGACAGCTGCTGCTGCCAACACCGAAAGCGTCTTAAGGAGCTCTAGACAGTTACTCCTCGGTCTCTGCCGACCAAGCCTTAGCAAAAGTATCAAGAGATCCTTGTTGGCTGGGACGAATAGGAACCAAATCACCAACCCTCCGAGTAGAAGCGAAGGAGAAGGATGTGCCCAGAGATTCCACTCATGCTCAGCCCAGCTAGCAGAGACGTCCATGAAGGCCAGAATGACCGGGGAAGTCACTCCCAAAGACCATGGAGTACTGAATACCTTCTGGGTAAGATCACGGTCCAAAATGTCTAAAACCTCGGTGCGCACTGTGTCCTCGAAAGTTAGCTCGCTGCCAAACCAAATCTTCACACACTCTTTCACGATCTTACGGTCGCACAGCATAGGTTCGCCCGAAGGGCCCACATGATGCAGATCACAGCATGAACTCCTTGTAGAATCCACGGAGATCAACAACAGCTGTAGCTTCATGGTGTCCAAGTCGCGAAAGTAGCTTCGGATGGTGCTGGCAGCCGGGACTGCAACCACAAACGCGCGGAAGACAATGACCGATAGCAGCTGCACGATTGTTCTTTCGTCGTAGATAGGTACTGTTGCGATTGGCATTGCAACAGCAGCAAAAATAAGATAGACTGCGATGGCAAGAGGTCCCATGAAGACGGGCCTGACGATGAGGTGCTGCTGTTGTGAAGTCTTGCTTTTCAGGAAGGCGGCAAGCTCAAACAAGCACCACCTAGGTTGGCTCTGCAAGAATGATTCGTAACTCTTGAGACCGTTCTAGAACCAAGAAAGGGAAACACAAAATGTCCCAATGGCCTACCTAGCCACAACCTCTCAGTCCATGTTGGGAGTTTTTCAAAAACCCTGCCAGGCTGAGTATGGCCTCCATCTTGAAGCGAGCATCGCTTTCGCTGATACATATACGGTCAAGGAAAACTGCAGTGCGTGGCCGCCAGAAAATCATTACTAGACTTGCGACGACGAACCCTGAAAATGTTGACCAACAAGACCACGTAATGTCATCCCACCATCCACGGTCAATTCCAGGAAGGGTGCCCAGACTAAAGAGCAACATCATGCACGCCCCGGTGAGCAAAGACAACAATACTGCAGCAGTGCCGTTCTAGAGAGTTATAATGGCGAAGATCTTCTTCCAATACCCTCCGTGCCAAGACTGACTCCAAAATGTCGAAATTCTTCGGCTCTGGTGACTCTTGTGGAAAAAATTCCCAGCAGATCCAACACGCAATGCTGCAGCAAAATGCTCCAAGGCGCGAAACGCCGGGGTCACCCTCAAGACCTCTGGGTTTACCACATCCATCTTGGCAGCGCGTTCTACCAGACTTGGCATCATCGCTTCCATGTGCAGGTCCGTATCGGGTGCCCCGAGGCTGGGTGCAGTGCCGTGGCCGCTGCTCTGGCTGGGGCCACTGTCTTGCCTCTCGGCCGGCACCCTCAAGTCCAGGATGGAATCTTCGCTGCGTCTGGCTCGGCCTTCCCATCTCTGCTGGGACGGCAGAAAGAAGCGGGTCACGCTATGTAGCGCTGCCCCAACAATCTACAAGGAGGCAGGATCACCCACGGCCGATTACACGATGTATGTATGTATGTATGTCCCTAAACCCTGAACCCTAAACCCTATAAGCCCTATAAGCCCTACAAGCCCTATAAGCCCTAAAAGTCCTATAAAGCCAAAATGCCCTAAACCCTAAAACCCTAAAACCCTAAACCCTAAACCCCATAAGTATGGTGGAAAAAACCCCGCGATCGCAGGCCCGGATCAGAAAGACTGCGCGAGGAGTTGTCCTTTGGTTCGAGGTGTTTTCCGTCGAAGTGGGCTTGAAGTGGGCACCGACACGCCCTACAGGCTATTAGGGCTTAGGGTTTAGGCTTAAGGGTGTGGGGTTTAGGGTTTATAGGGTTTAGAGTTTAGGGTGTAGGGCTTAGGGTTTATAGGGTTTTGGGGTCTAAGGATGATCATAGGGTTTAGAGTTTAGGGTGTAGGGTTTAGGGTTTATAGGGTTTAGGGTTTAGTGCTTTTAGGGTTTAGGGTTCAGGGCCGACTTGCCCCTACGGGCCATGGCAGCCATGGGGGGAGATGGACCTTCCTTGGAACCCTGGGAGTCGACGTAGCACGAAAAACATACGGTTGATACTGTAAAATCTTGCATTACCTCAAGGACCCTATAGTAAACCCCAAAACGTTGGAAACCGGATTAAGGACAAATAGTGCTGGGAGTCTGTATACATTACTCTTAGGGCTTGAGGCTATGGGGTTTCCAACTTTTGGGCTTCTACTATAGACTATGGGATTTATGGTATATTCCTTATTATGGGTACTGCAGGATGTATATCATCCACCGTAGTTCCCTGAATTAGGAAGGACCTTCCTTGGAACCCTGGGAGTCCAAGTTCCAGGAAACACATGGGTAGTTTTTTAAGGCTGGGTTTAGGGTTTAGGGTTTAGGGTTTAGGGGTTAGGCGTTAGGGTTTAGGGTTTAGGGTAAATTAGGGTGCCTCTTAGGGTCCGTGTTATCCAGTGAGGGTGCCCCACGAGTTAGGGGACCTGAAACGTGACCCTCATTTGGAGATCTGCCCATATACTCTCCCGAAGAGGACTACGTAACTCTACTGGTTTTGGGGTTTGGGTGCTCACCCAAAGTATTTAACCGACAATACTACGATCCTAAACACAAGTCCCGAACTGCTAGATCCCTTGGACCCCTAAACCCTAAACCCCTTAAACCCTAAAACCCTAAACCCTAAACCCCTAAACCCTAAACCCTAAACCCCTAAATGTATCACTAAACCCTAAACCCCTCACACCCCCTAAATCCCTAAACCACTAAACCCTAAAAAACCCTACACCGCAAACCTCTAAACCCCTAAACCCTAAAAAACCCTACACACCTAAAAACCCTAAAACCCTAAAATCCTAAAAAACCCTAAACCCTAAAAACCCTAAACCCTAAACCCCTAAAAACCCTAAAACCCTACACCCCTCAAACCGTAAAACCTTAAAATCCTAAAAAACCCTACACCCTAAAAACCCTAAACCCTACACCCCTAAACCCTAAACCCCTAAAACCCTAAACCCCTGGAGGAAGGACTCTCTGCAGGACAATGTGAACTGAGGGTCGAAACTGTCTGAGCACCCGTCTAAAGGCTTCCTTTTTAAGGGCTTCTTTTGGGGTTTAGGGCTTTTAGGGTTTAGGGATTTAGGGCTTTAGGGTTTAGGGTTTTAGTAAATTAGGGTTTTAGGGTTTAGGGATTTAGGGCTTTAGGGCTTTAGGGTTTTAGTACATTAGGGTTTTAGGGTTTAGGGTTTAGGGCTTTAGGGCTCCTTATTTAAAGGTATCCTGTGAAACCTCGGACTCCTGATGGGCAGACAGCCACCTCGCGAGGTTCTTGGAGATCGGAATCGGGTAGCCTGAGCAGCTTTCGGTTCAGAAACCCAGCGAGACCTAATGGCCTTAAGTAGGGAACAGGAGCTTTAGCCTCTTGGGCTGAGGTTGTAGATTCCGGGGTTTAGGGTTTAGGATTTTGGGTTAAGAGTTTAGGGTGCAAAGTTTAGTGGGTTAGGGTGTAGGGGTTTCGGGGTTTAGTGGTTCAGGGGTTTAGGGGTTTTGAGGTTCTGTTCGGGAGTGGGGCATTTAGTGTCGAGAAAGGATTGATGACGTCGGGTTGGTTTGGTGGGTCGCTTGCTTCGGAAACAGAACCCTAAGGGTCCAAGTACCTAATAATCATAATATACTCTTCTGAATATTAACTTACAAGACTATGTCCTTTGGACCCTCAGGGGAACATCATCATCATCATCATCCTCCGCGACCCACATGCCAGCCACGCAGGCAGCCGCCACTCAGCTCCAGCTTCGGCGTTCACTTTCTTCGGCGATGCCTTGCCCCAAGGATCCATGTACCCAAATAGCCATACTTTGGCCTTAAAGCAGTCCCTATTTGGGTACTTAGGGGCCACAGTATATACTATTTGGGTACATGGACCCCTTAAACCCTAAACTGCCCTAAACCCTATTGAACCCTTATAGTAGCCCTTAAAAGGGCCCTTGAAGGTACATGCACCCTTAGGGTTGGGCTTTTCTTCGGATGCGGCTGCGCCGCAGGCTTCCTGGGCGTTTTCTGCGGTCGTGGCGTTAGCGTCAAGGCCTGGCCGAAGCCCGGTTTCAAAGTTTAGGGTTTAGGGCTTAGGGTTTAGGGTTGACGGCTTGGGGAATAGAGTTTATAGGCTATGATTAAGGGCCAAAGTTTATAAGTGACAGGACAGCTGCCATGAGACAGTGTGCCCTGAAGCACTCTCACTACCGTCCACGTTCGCCTTGCTGAGGAGTTATCACTCCAATAAGCGCACATGTACATTTCCTGTGTCAGGGATCATCAAGGAATTTGGGCCAACGATCCTGAACCCTAAACCCTAAACCCTGAGCCCGAACCCTCACCGCTGAATCCTAAACCCTGAACCCTAAGCCCCTTTTTTCAGGTCCCCCAAAACCCTTCAGGTCCAGGTATCTCCTTAGGAGGGTCTCTTTGGGGTCTCAGGAATCCTACATGTCGAAGTTCCACAAACTGTTAGGACCCCTTAGAGTAAGCCCTGGAACCCTAAGCCCCTGAACGCTAAACCCCTAAACCCGTAAACCCCTGAACGCTCAACCCCTAAACCCCTAAAAACCCTAAACCCCCAAACCCCCCCAAACCCCCTAAACCCCTAAACCCCCAAACCCCTAAACCACAAAACTCTTAAACCCCATAAACCCCGTAAACCCTAAACCCCCAAACCACTAAACTCTTAAACCCCTAAACCCGTAAACCCCTCCCCCTAAATCCCCTAAACCCCCTAAACCACTAAACCCCTAAACCCCCTAAACCCCGTAAACCCCTCACACCCCCTAAACCCCTAAACCACTAAACCCTTAAACCCTAAACCCTACTAAAACCCTAAACCCTACTAAAACCCCAAGTCCCCTTTTTCAGGTCCCTTAAAAAAGCCCCTAGAAAACCCTTAAACCCTACCCTGCCCGCCCCAGAGTGAGACTCCCGGCCCTGCGGCGACGGCCTCTTCCAAAACCTCCTGGCTGTTCGACGACTCTGTTTTTGTTTGGTTTGTTTGTTACAGGGTTTAGAGTTTAGGAGTTAGTTTTGATTATTTATTTTTTTGGGGGGGGGTTTGCGCTAGGGTTTAGGGTTTAGGGTTTAGGGGTTGAAGGGGTTTAGGGCGTTAGGGTGTTGATAAATGTACACATAGGCTCCATTGTAGTTCCTTTTTGGCATTACCTTCTCCAAATATGGGTAGAAGCCAGCAAAGTTGGAACATCATTGTCCTGGTGCCCTTAAGGTAAAGTATAGGGGATTCTAGCACCAATCATCCTAAATCCATGTTCCAACTTTCTGGTCTTGACTGTAGGGTGTTGGGGTTTCAGGGTAAGATTTAGATTTCAGGATGTAGAGTGTAATTTTCAGGGTTTGGGGGGCGTTGCGGGGGTGGGGGTGGGGGGGGGGGGGAAGATTCTGATACCCATAGTCATGTCTATACCCTGAGCACTCCTGAAACCCTATAAACCTAAAAGCCCTGCAAGCCCTAAACTCGAAATCGTTCATAGCTTAGGGTGTGCTAGTTAGAGCTTCTGGGGTTCAAGGTTTATAAGCTGTTGGAGGCTATTCACGAAGCAGCCGCCGTTGCTTTAGGTATTTTGGAGCGCGACTGTCTAAGGACCTTGTATGGCACCTTGAGGTTCAAGGCTTTGGGTTCGGAATGGGCTTTAGGGTTTAGGGTTCACCTGGACCCCAAAGAACCTATCTTTTGTGGGTTCCTTATTATGCTTTCCTTATATAAGTCCTTAAATAGGTAGGATGTTTGGGGTGAAGGTTTAGGGTTTAGGGTTTAGGGTTAAAACAAAACTGGAGGC